ATTCAATATAAAAGTGGAGAAGATGGAGTTGGTATTTATGAATAGCTGAATTTGGTTGACATTCTGAATGTTTTTGTCTTGTTCAGTGCATTTTGTTTTAATATTTTGCAGTTTTGCTGCAGTCTGCATTTGCTGCGAGACTTCCGCTGTTACGTACTGAGGAAAGAATTACACATTAAAAGTAATGATACATTATAGAAAATGTGCAAAAGTTAATGACAAGGTGGAGTTTGCTTAATGCTATCTTTACAGTTACAGGTGTGATAGATAGGGAAGTTGGATATATATCTATCTCTCTTCTCCTTACACATGCTACAGATGTAGAACTTGAAACAATCCAAAAGAACTCTTAGCTACAGAATAAAAAATAGATTTGTGCATTTCCTACTTTTCCTTCCTATTTTTTTCATGTAAAAAGATGACTGATGAAGGTAACTCTCTGTAGAGCTCTGTAACTAAATACTAGATGTTTGTTTTGTTTAATGTTGGTTATGTTTAATTAGATGCACATCATCTCAGCAGGGCAGGCTGAGCATGCTGCCTGATATACTGTATTTATACATACTTTTTCGCTGCCCTTACCCTTGTTAACTTCTGCTTTAGATTTTAATTATTATTTTTAAAACAAGTAGAATTTGCTTTTTTTTTTTTTTTTTTTTTTTTCTTCCTCTTTTACCATTATGTTCTCTGGGACTGGTTGGTTTCACCCTCCTACTCATTTGAAAAACTGGTATCTAACCTTGCTTTTGTGATCCTCTATGTTAAACTCACTCTGTTCTTCCTATGTAGACAGTCCTTGTTCTGGAAGTGGCACCAGTTTCCAAAGATCTCCTTATTTGTTCATCTGTGATGATTTAAAATTTTGAATGTGTGATTTATGCTTGATCAGATGGTCACGCTGTTTGTCAGATCTGCCTGGTCTTGTTGTGATTGTTTTTAATGTGACCAGTAGCCCTGTACAGTTGTGCCAGGGATTTAATTTTGAACATTTTTTTTTCTCAATCTGATTTCAAATATGCTTTATAGTTCATGATGCAGGATATGAGTATCCTTGACTTCGGTACGTTTGCACAGAGCTCCAGGTCTTCTACTGCTGTCAATAGAAGAACATCCTGTAAGATACTCTTCTAGAATTTTGGTAATTCAGATTTTTATGCTGAACTGTTGTCGTGAGCCTTCTGGATTTTGTAATACACTCCTGTGTAATCTACTGCTGAATAGCAGAACCAGGAGAAAATGTAGATTGTGCTGAAGCATTTGTGGCAAAGACCTGTTGTTTGGAAATAACTGCCATGCACTTGATAAAAGACAGACTTTGCAGTTACTTGAAATAGACTGCTCTTAATAATATCTGAAGGAAATTAATAGATGTTGATTTCTTGCAGAGTCTTTCTGTTTTTGTATTCCCACGTTCTGTTCTCCATCTACATTTATGGCAATAAGTAAAACACCTCAAGCCTTAATCATAGTAAAAGATAGGAGTTACAGTGTGTATTCTATCAGAGTTGAATAATTAAAAATGTAGAAATGTAATCAGTGACATTACTACAAGGGCCATGAAACTTTGTGTCTTCCAAGAGCCTGCTTTTATATAATATATACTTTGGCCAAATTATTATATCTGTTTATGGTGTGTATAATTATTTGTGTAATACTCATTGCAAAGCAGATTCTTTAGGCTTGGAAGAATATTTGTTATCCATTTATAGACAGGTTAAGGTTTCTCCCTTTGCAGGAGAAAAAAATGGTGTCTTCAGTGGTATTTATCTGAAGATATGTTATTTAGAAGAAGCTTTAATAGCAGATGGACTGCTCTGTAAATTGCATCATTGGAAACACAATGTAAGGATTAAAAAAAATAAATCTTTTGGTACTGATGAGATTTGTCAGTGCCTGGTGTGTAGTTGTGGCTGTTTCCAGAATCTGCTCTAGAGAGCAGGCTGTGATACAGGTGAGTAGGAGCTCTTCCTCACGCTTTTTCCTCCAGTTTGACGAAGATGCACTCACACTTCATTCATCACAAATGACACAAATGACGTTCATTACAAATAGACTGTAGTTTTCTCTTTTTGCTCATTCATTTGTTCAAAACTCATAAATCCAAAATTCATTCCCTACCTTTTGTTTGATTGATGGATTTGTCTTGGATATTCTGTGTGAAGTTTTCTGCTCTTTAAAGAAAAAATGTTGCTTAGTGGTTGTCTTTGAAGGCCGCTGTTACGTTGTTTGTTCCTCCTTCCAGTCTGAAAATCTGCTTCACAATCTCTAAGACTACCAAATATTTTTCTTCTGTCTTCAGTAATGTTTTGTCTTTTGTGTTTCAGTGAATTAGAGAGTTAAAGTGAACGAAGTTATGATTCTGGTGTGGCTGCTCACACTGAAATGTGTTTTTCAGGCTTTCAACTCTCATACTAATGTCAATTCACATATTAGAAAGCGTTTAGTACAGCTTACAGGGATTTGTTTGATTCTGCTGTTCAGTGATATTTGTATGAAGACATGATTGGACTAAGGAGACTATGAGACATGTATTCTATTTGAATCAATTGATTTAGTTTTAAATATATTCCAGTGTTAGTATAGTATAGTGCTTTAGAGCTGCTATTCTTTTATAGCAAATTTGCATTTTACAAAAAAAGATTATTAGGATTTATTGTGAGAGTTATCAAAAATGATGTGTAAGGTTTACTTGAATGCATTATTTTTAGCTATTCTGTGTTTGGAGACCAAATAATGTTTGTAAGTAAGATAAAAACTCTTCAAATTAAAATGAAGAAGAGCAGTTCTTATGCTGGAAAGAACTCTGAGTCATTGCAAGATGTTTGATTAGTATTCATGACACAAAAGGAAGTTATTCTCAGGGTAAAGGAATTTGTGAAAAGATAATTGGTTAGACCAACATTCTCATTAACCTAATTTGCATTAAATGTGCTACTGTGAATTGTAGTTATTGCTTTTCCATTTGAAAGGCATGCTTTGTTAATCTATTTAAGAGCCTAGTTAAACTACCGTTTAAGTCATACCCTTTAATTCAGCAATACAGTGTCTGTGGATCTATTATTCCCGACTTTCTATGTGTGGAGAATCACAAGTCAGATCTGGATCCTGGCTTATTTTCCTGGTGAAGTGGGTTTGTTTAGCTGCTTTACATCGGGTCATTCTCAGCTATCTAGAGCATCCGACTCATCCTTTAGTTTAATTTTACTTCTTTGTCTTGAAGAAAATACATGACTTTTTTCCCAATAGCATGAGGGCTCTGAGAATCATTTGGTTTAACCGTTTTTCAATACGTACTTCTTTGTGTGTGTAACTAAACTGAGCCTTTTAAAAATGAGCACTGAAATTAATTGGCACTCTTTGGTATCTACTGTAAAATAAGGCGTTAAGAGTGAATCTGGATTTCTTTAAGTTTTAGCTTTAGCTATTACTTAGCAATGTTCTCAATGCTCTGACAGAGGGATATACTCACAGTTGTGTTATTAGCAATGAAAAGGCAGGCACCTTTGTCAGCAGCAGTCAACTGTGAGTTTTCAAGTTAAACATTCACATCTACAGTTAGGCACACAAAGTACCATATTTCTCCAGGTAATCTGTAATTCTCAGGATCAAATCTAACCTCCTGCACACCGCAATTTAACAGCTGTCTACTCTATCCGTACAAAGACGCACAAACAGCTGTTTGTTGTCAAACTGCGTGGTCTGGGAAGACACACATCCCATGCTCTGCATCAGCAGCATACATGCTGTGTGTTATTCTAGATTGCTGGTCATTATTTCATTTTGGGGTTCTCTTGTTCCTTATAATTTTTATGGCGTATTTCTTTATGGCAAGTTGATCAAAAGAAGTCAAAAGGTGTTCCCCACGCCTTCCTTTTTGTTTATTTAATTTGCAGTAACCTGTTCTTTAAATGCTGCTGAATCTAAAATGATTCATTTTCAATTTTTAAAACAGACTAACAGGATGGTTTCAAAAGAAGCACTTGAAAGTGTAAATTGCTGGCTGTAAAGACTGAATATTAGTTTTCAGTGTCTGTGTTTTTATATATATATATATATATATATATATATATATATGTAGAAATATTGTCAGTTACTAACAAGTAATAACTTATTCCAGAATTATGATTTTGCTCATACACAGTGAATAACTAATGTTATAAAATAGCTCTACTGCTGTTTCAATTGAATGGTACAACACATAAGAGCCATAAGAAGTTTTCATAGTCATTTCAGTTTTACATGATTATGTATTTGTTGTAGGTTGGATCTGATTCTGCCTGCATCTGCAACCCCCATCTTTCATGTTTCATCTCTGATAGACTTTACTAATATTTTTTCCTGGAATTCTGGTGTTTTTACAACAAATAAGCTGATAAGACTGTCTGTTGCAATCCAGTGTAGTACTGCAGTAGAATCTAAACCAACACCCTATGCTTACCTGTAGAAAAAGAAGGTTCCTACTGTCTTGGAGCAACATGGCAGGAGGTTAGAAGATCCCATAGCTAAGGTTACATATGTTTAATTAGCCTGATTTAATGGTGTGGGTTTTCTTGTTTATTTGTGTTTTTTATTCAATCCTGTATATACATGAAGCAAGGTTTTGGCTACACTGGTTTCAGTGCTATTTTTTTATGACGTGCCAGAGTAAGGGAAGAGAAAATCTGAAGCATTAACTGCCAAACAACAGAAAGCATTTACTTGGCCAGTACAAACTGATATCTAGAACCTTGTAATTCATTTTAGAAGAGATGTATTGAAAAAATGTTTCTACAGCACATTTAAGGCTTTTCATAAAGAGTACTCTCAAAATGTTGTACATAAATTCCATTCAGTTGGGCTTAGAGAAGTTTACTATTTTGAATGCAAGCAGCGTTCAAACACAAATATGCTGAAAATTTGAGGTTTATTGATTGATTAAATGTATTTCTGTAGGATTTGGAGCTTACAGGGAGTGTGCTATTAAAAAATATTAAAATATTTTTTTAATTTCTTTTCTGTAGGAGATTCCTTTACACAATTTCGATTTGCTGAAGAGAAAGACTGGGATACAGAAAACGTATACTGTAAGCAGGTAACTGAATGTTCTGTGCAGATAATTGCCTGGCACATGCAATGTATGTAGCTCTGTATGCAGTTCTGCTTACAGCAGAACAATAGCACTGTGTAATTTGTAGATACATTTATTAATTTGTTTCTGATGCTGGAGGCTCTTGAGTCTTGTCCTTTTCTTTCCTACTGAAGAACGTTCAAGACAACAGGCTAGGTTTTTAAGGAGCATTGAAAGAAAAGAACACAAACCTGTCAAGAGAAGGGCAAGTAAGGGGTGTAAATCACCTTGTTCTGCTGACATATAAGGTCAGCTTTCCATTTTCAAACGTGTTCAGAACAGTTTAGCAAAAAGGCTGTAATGGGACCTATAGATATATATTCACATATTTGACTACAAAATGTGTTTTCACATTTAATTCAAATTACCAGTGTATATCCTCTACTAGAAACTTCAGTTTCAAAATGACTGTGGAACTCAACAAGGTTTGAAATTTTTTGCTTGTGGATCTCTGTGGTTATATAAATAAGTGCAAAGAAACTGTAGTGTCCTGTTTTTTTATACTGGGATACTAGAAAATGTGTTGATCTTTAAACTGCCTTTCTCCCACAATCCACCTAAGTTATTGCAAGATCACAGAACTGTAGAATTGCTTGGGTAGGAAGTGACCTTAAAGATCATCTATTTCCAACCCCTGCCTCGGGCAGGGCTGCCACCCACTACATCATGGTGCTCAGGGCCCCATCCAACCTGGTCTTGAACACCTCCATGGGGTGGGGCATCTACAGCCTCTCTGTACAGCCTGTTCCAATGCCTCACCATTCTTTGAGTAAAGAATTCTTAGTTACTTTCTAAGACAGCACCTAACATAAATCTCCCTTCTTTTAGTTTAAAGCCATTCCCCTTTGTCATGTCACTGTCTGCCCATGTAAAGTTAGCCCCCTTCCTGCTTTTAAGCTCTCCTCAAGAACTAGAAAGCTGCAATGAAGTCTCTGTGCCGCTTTCTCTTCTCCAAGCTAAACAAACCCAGCTTTCTCAGTCTTTCTTCATAGGAGAGGTGCTTCAGCCCTTCAACCGTCTTTGTGGCTCTTCTCTGGACCCATTCCAACTGCTCTATGTCCTTCTTGTGCTAGGGGCCCCAAAACTCCAAGTGAGGCCTCACAAGGGCAGAGCAGTAGGCAAGTTACCTCCTTCTCCCTGCTGCTCACCCATCTATCGGCGCAGCCCATGATACTGTTAGCATTCCAAGCTGCAAGCACACACTGCTAGCTTTTGTCTTTGAAGCTTTTCTTAAAATTGCTGAAGAGCTGTGCTTGAGTCTCACTTGAAACATTTGTATGTATTTGAATTTTGAACATTTGCTGCTTATTTCCTAAAATATTGGGAATAATTATTCCTAGGGCACTGATATTTAAAGTTATATTGAAATTGCAATGTTACAAATTAAGATGAGGAAATACTACCAAGAGGCTTGTACAGCAATTTTTTAATCGATCTTGTGTTTTTTTTTCCAGTGAGAGATTGGCTTTCAATGAATCATAGAATCATAGAATCACCAAGGTTGGAAAAGACCTAAAAGATCACCCAGTCCAACCGTTCACCTATTCCCAATAGCTCCTACTAAACCATGTCCCTCAACACAACATCCAGCCTTTCCTTGAACACCCCCACGGCCGGTGATTCCACCACCTCCCTGGGCAGTCCGTTCCAGTGCCTGACCACCCTTTCTGAAAAGTAATACTTCCTCATGTCCAGCCTGAATCTCCCCTGCTGTAGCTTGAAGCCATTCCCCCTGGTCCTATCACTGATGACACGAGAGAAGAGGCCAACCCCCAGCTCACTACAGCCTCCCTTCAGGAAGTTATAGAGAGCAATGAGGTCTCCCCTGAGCCTCCTCTTCTCCAGGCTGAACATTCCCAGCTCCTTCAGCCTCTCCTCATAAGCCCTGTGTTCCAGACCCCTCACCAGCTTTGTTGCCCTCCTTTGAACACGTTCCAGGGCCTCAATAGCTTTCTTGCAGTGAGGGGGAATGATTTTATATTCTCATCAGTTTCTTCCTTTCCCAGTATGTAGGATGCCAGTAGTACAGCACATGACTTTTGCTTCCTTTTCTCTGTGCATTTCCAGAATATTAATTTCTCCATGATTTCCTCCTAGACTTGTCATTAAAGCATTTAACTGATCTGAACCTATTAGCTCATTTATATGCTGAGGCCATGGTGAGCAGAGTGAAGATTTGCACTGCCAGTCAGTTTAAAAGGTGCTCTGTCTACCAATGCAGAGACTGTGCATTTGGGATTTGGTCCAGTACTGAGTTATGAATTGTGTTGTGGTGGGCACGTTCTTTTGCCTCTGCTTCATTCAAATTGTGTGCTTCAAGTAGATCATGTCTTTGACTTCTTCTTCCTGTCCTGGCCCAGGTGGTTTCTTAGCATGAGCTAATTCTTTGTGTTCTTTCTGCTCTTCAGCCTTTAAGTTTCTTGCCTCTCTTTTTTTTTTTCCCCTGAAAACTGGATTTGATCCTTATTTTCTTCCTACATCTACTGCTCCAAGTTCCTTGCCTTTTCCTCTTTTAGATCTGCTTCTAGTTCTTTGCCTGTTTGCATGCATAGAAGAAGTTATTATAGAATCATAAACTGAACTTTAATGTGAGGGAACAAAACAAAGTGGAAGAGGCGTACAAATGATTGCAGAATGAGTAGATATTTCCCAGTCCTTGTTATATGTAGAAAGGAATGGCAAAGCAACAGTTTGGAAAAATGTGGAATTGAATTGAATTGTATCAGTGACATTGACACTTTGTTATTCACTTTTACAAAAAGCAAACCTGAATTTGCTTTGTTGTAGGTTGATAAACCACAATAGGAACGTTTCGGAACACTGCAATTTAAAAATCAGACAAGTAGTGATTATCTGTTTGGTTGGGTTTTTTTGTTTGTTTTTCCAGTAAAACTGGTAATTCCAGCAACAAAGTATTCCTCTGCTTATTTTCTTGCACAAATAGCTGCATATGCCATGAAGTGTTTATAATTCTTTAAATCCTGCTTTCATCCATTTGTTTTGGTTTCTTTCTTTTTTATTTAAGCACCACTTATAGTGAAATACCTACTTGGATGTTGAATTCCTATTTACATTATATTATTTCTCAGCTCTTTTCCTTCATCATCAGCCTTTCCTCGTATTCCCTGTCTCTCTATTTCACCTTCATGAGAAATATTTTATTGTTCTTTGTATTTTTGCAAATGTCCAAAGCTCATAGCTCTTCCCCAATGCACTTAAATGTTATTCAATGATATTTGGCATTTTACAATTTTTGTTGTTGGATTCATATCATTTCCAGACACTGCTCTTTGCAAGTGTGCAGAAGCCATAGTCTCTTATGACATTGTCAGCTTGTGGAACCATTTCCTACTTTTTGGATTTCCAAGGCATTCATCCTGTTTTTAACTGAGTAATGATTTGCTTTGTAGGTGTTTAGCCAGATTTAGCCGAAATGCTTTGTTCATGTGTGCTTCTAGAGCTAAGAATTCCTGCTATTATTGTCAGTGTCTTTTAGATACTGTATATTTGTAAATTGGTCTTCGCATTCTTACAGTGTGTGGAGCAAAGGAATGTAATATGCTAATATTATGTAATTACAATACATATTACATATTACATATTACATATTACATATTACATATTACATATTACATTACATATTACAAATATGTAATATGCAAAGGAATGTAAAAGGCATAAACGGTTTCAACTTCTTTTGTAATGCATGTGTGCTGTGTGTTGGTTTACATTTCAGTTATCTGCACTTTCTGTTGACTGCCAGTCCTTAGCCCAGGCCCTGCAGGAGTTGCCTCTACATCTGAGGTTGAATGTAGCTGCTGAACTTGTACAGGTAACTGAATATTCACAATAAAGTGTAAATATTTTAACCGATATGATTGACTTTAAACCTAGTTTTCAAATGTAACACGAATGCATTTTATAAGTAAATATATTTTTGAGACTGTCACGTGAAGTAGGAGACCCCTGTATCAGCCCTTTTTATGCTCTATTGATGGCTTTAAGCAGAATACTTTGTGTGCATTGCATTGGACTTCAAGCCAGGTATATATGAGTGACATGGAATTATTCTAATCTTTTTTGTATTTGCTTGTCTTTTTAGCAGCTATTAAAAACTTGCAACAAAATTTTGAAAGTGCTTCCACATTCTTTCTATTAGATAATTATTTTGTTTGATTTACTCTTCTAATGAATATAAACATATATGCTTGTTCTATGAATTAGACTTACTGTGCATGTAAACTGCTACAACTGTCAGTCAAACAAGTGAAGAAAACATGTTCTGGTTAAAGAAAGGTAAGGAAAGAAGTGTTTCTTCAGGCTGTGAAAACAGACTATATTAATGTAAGAGAAAAAGAACTGATAAGAAGTTAAAAAGCGAAAGCAGAAAAAAGATCCATCTGCTCAAGCAGAGGAAAATGAAGATTTTTAATATTCTGTCTAATAATTAGAAACTCTGAAGTCCTCTCTTGTACTCTTAGGCATCTACACCCATAGAGCTACCACAGATGAAATCTAAAGTTGTTGAAGACAGCAAAAGGAGGGAGCTGTTTCGGCAGTCTTTGTCTCAGAGGGAAACGGTGTTGGTCTCCCGATCTGTTGGTGATTCTGCTGCTTCATCGGAGCCTGGAACTAAAAGTGATCCTGGGACAAGTGCAGCAGAACCATTTCACAGAGCCCGTCTGCTAGAAAAGCAAGAGACTGACCATTTGGATGAAGAACTGGATCGTCTCCTAAATCTGGATGCTCCCATTGATTCTGTGTCAGGTGCATTATCCTACAACATATCAACAGAGAAAGATCTGAAAATGGAAAGTAAGGAAAATGGTAAGATTTTGCTTTCTCCCAGTGCCTTTATTTTTTTTTCTCAGTGTTGTTTTTAAACTCCTAACTTGCAAGTAAACAGTTCTGCTATCAGTATCTCTGTCATAGGGCACTTCATTTATCTGGGGCTGTGCTCTGACCCTCTCACCTGAAGTTTCACCACTGTCATGATGTTCATTTTAAGCATTAATTTTGTAGAACAGCAGTGGTCTTACGAATCAGCCAAATTTGATTTTTATTTTGTTTTAAAGTACTGTTACAGAATTTTAGTTAGTGGAAGATTAAGATAGTTTTTATGTAATGTTATCGGCCCTTAGTTCTCTCTGATAATCTAATGAAGACCTGATAGCTATTTCTGATTACACTACAAATGTTATTTTCAAACTTTACTAGCAGTGATAATACAAAATGAGCTTTTTAATAGACACAATACAAACACAAATTTTCCTATAGCAGAAGTTCAGCGGGCCACTGGAATCTGTACTACTGTTAGCTCTGAAGGAGAGCAGTTGTACGTCTCCTTGTTCTACAATGATGTTAAAGAACTTCAGCATCTCTGATTTTTATGTATGATTGTTTTGTTTTGATAAAAATTAAGTCCAAACACAGAGATAGCTGGTGACATAAATATCACCATGTGCAATGCAGTAAGCCTTGTCTCTGAGGAGAATCTTTCATTCTGCTGGTATATCCAAAGCACAGTGTAAATCCCTTAAGAAAACAGTGCCATCGGAATGTGGAATTACAGTCATCATGCTAATTGCATTGTGATCCGCTGTTGCGGTCTCCTGCTGCTCTCCTATACTAAAGAAAATTCTGTTTATGTCAGGATTGTGAATAGATCGCAATAGGGGTTTGCTTACTTAGAAGCAGGTCCTGCCCCTCCTTGAATCTGGTGGAAGCTGCATTTCTATGGTTGAGCTTATCAAACTGCGTTTTTAATTGTTGCTACTGTTTTTGAAATGTTATTCTTTGAGAGATTGTATTGCAATAAAATACAGTCATGCATGCATTAAAAAAGCAAACTGATGAAGGAAAAAGACAGTACAGAATTTTTTCCATGTTTTCAAAAGCCTGTTCCTTTTGCTTTTCTAGACCCTCCAAGAGCAGATGTGCCAGAACAGAGAAGTACAGCACCACAGCAAGAGCAGAAAACATCCAAAATTGTTACTGAGGAAGAGCTTGAAGACTGGCTAGACAGCATGATTTCCTGAAACCAATTTTCCGTATGTGAATAAGTGAATATAGCTAAAATCAAGTAGAAAGTGGAACCCTCCTTTAGCTGTTCTTTATTTCATTTATTTGTTTCACTTGCCTGCAAATAAAACCAGGCACCTGAAATTCTGTGCCACCAAAATTTGATTAGGTATGATTGATTAAGTAATGTTTAAGACTGTGTAACAGTCTTAAAGAGGCCTAACATTTATGATTAAGTTGGGATTTGTTTTTTTTTTTGCTTAAAATGTAGGCTGCAGCAAACTGCCAGAGTTGTTGTTCCAGCTTGTACTTGATACATGCAGTCCTTAAAATAAAGCAATGAATGCACAACAAATACATGTTTTTAATCAGCTTCAGCACGCCACATTTCTGTATTGCAAAAAAAATCAGAAAGAAATCAAAAAGGCAGTATTTGGTTTATAATATTTTATTGCAGTGGGCACTTTCTACGAGAAGAAAAATAAATGCATAAACCTTGCAGCTTCTATTTGCAGGTGACAGTAGAGCATTGTTTTATTTTGGCCTGTGATTTAAACTGTATTCATTTTGATACAGGGTGTGTCTTGTAACAGCAGCATCTAATAAGCTGTTATTGAAGGTTGTATACAAACTTTGAGTGCAATTTCATACAGAAGGACAGAGAAGCAATACAGTCAATGGATCTGTTCACCTAGAACACTAACAAAAAGTTTGCATAGCTATGTCTACGGAGGTTTTAAGGCACTTCATGATTCAAGGTCAACAAAGTGTTTGAAAATGTTTCCTTTTATCTGCTTAAAGCTTTTCAAGCTGTGTCTTAATATACTGACTAGCAAATATTGTGGGGCAAAAATGGGACAGCACTTGAAGTACTTTTTCTGAGGCATGGCCTCTGATGTTCAAGTTCTTAAACATCAAATGTTGTACAGGTAAGACATCTTTTAGCCCTTTCACTCTTACCGAACACTAGGTTAAGTGGTGTAGTTAAAAAGTTATAATATCAGAGCATGTTTAAATTGGAAGGTTCGATTTGATATTGGCATAGATTTTTCTTTTCAAATTACAATTCCAGCAGAAGACCAGTTTTGTACGGGGAACGTATAAAAAGCCTATGAAATTGTTTCAAATTTTATGTATGTCTTTAAGTTTAAAGACATTTAAAGCAAATACAGGCTGAGAATTTACATCATGAAAAGGAAAGAAGTTTATATACTGGATCTTTTGTTATATTAGCCAAGTTGATCCTCATACTGTTTCCGGAAGCAGTCTCCTGCTGGAAAGAAATCCCAGCATCTTTCTTGGTACATCTTCCACACGAATGACTCCTGAAAATGATAAAGAACACTTATTTTAAGATTTATATTTGGCATTTATTTTTAACATTTATTTTAACTCCTTACAGCCAGTGCTCTAAATTGTAACAGTAAGCAGTTACTGTGCTTAATTTAAAAAAGTCAAAAAAGTGCAGGTAAGTGAAAACTAATCAGTCCAATTCTATCAGAGTAAACCTCTATAATCTGCATTGCAAAATGTGTTTTAGTTTCCTTGGAAAACCACTGAATTATAAGGTACTTTCACAGTATTGGTGCAACATCTTATTTTAAATAAGGAAAATAAAGAAGATTTAATTATATCTTATTTCCATTTAGGATCTAATAACACTGAACTTATGAACATATGTTCATATACTGTCCGTATATACATATAAATATATATATAAATATATATATGGGTATAGACTATAAATACAGTAATGTAACTACTGAAGGCTGTCTTCTCCAGGCACACTACAGTAGTGCTGGATAGTGCACCTGTCCTTTTTTCTCGCTCAAAAATCTCAGGAGTGGATATTTGTCTCCACTGGTGGTACATCAGTTCCACCTGGTGGTACGTCAAGCTACAAGGCTGGAGAAGGAAGATGCAGCTTTTCAAGACAAATATTTAGCTTTTTTTTTTTTTTTTCCGACTCACCTGGCCAGTATGCTCAGTCTCATCCTTGTTTATGAGGTACATTAAGAAGAACCTGAAACAAGTGCATGGAACAGGTATTAACGCAGGATGTATAATCTCTCCCCTAACCTTTCCTAGAGTGGGATTTGATGTTTATGGTGGCAACCAGCAAAGAAATGACGTTCCTAGGCTTCTAGGATGTTTTAAAGAAGAAAATGCAATCCTTGGAGACTTCTGTGAAATTGCTAACAGCTGTAGGATCTGTAGAAGTGGAAAAATATATTTCAGCAGTTTTTTCATTTCAGTGCTGATCAGTAGTAACACCTGACTTGGGCCTACATATATAGCTCTTTTATGCTCAAATTCTGTCATGTTGGAAGAAGTTCTTACAGAATTTATGCAAGAAGTATGATAGGTTATGAACTTGTAGATGGTAGATGGCTTGGAAATCTTGGTGCAACCAAGTAGAACCTATCTTATCTTAGGTACCACTTGTGTCAAATGTACAAAATTGAAGTAATTGGAAAGGCTGTAGAGTACTAACACTTGGTCTGTTTTATGTGACAGTGCTCTTGGATAGCTGGTTTTTGATGTAATGCATTGGGAGTTAAACTTAATATGTTTTCATTTTAAAAAGGAAAATATACTAACTTCTAAAACCTTTTTTTTTCTAATTAAAAAGCAACCTGCATAGAAAGATTATTCTCCATATGTTCTAATATTAAGAAAATGACAATTTTTAATTTACAGTGAATGACAGGATCCCACATGCCAATTAAGTGATGCAATGTAGTAAGAGAAGCTTGGAGGCTGTAGATTGGTAAAAACTATGGATAGAGAAGAAAACCTGACTCACGTAAGTAATGTGTATTGATTCTACAGAGTCAGTTACTGCGCAAGGAATAATGCAACATATATACTAAGAGGCACTGTTGTTTTGTTTTTTTTTAAGCTCAGATACAGTGTTGTATTCCAAAGCCAGCCTTTAAAAGAAGGACCAACCAGTTCGGCCTCCTTGGTCCAAGATGGTCATGTAGTTATCATTTTTGTCAGGGTGACTAATGCCACCAAATTCCCTTTTCAGTAACCCTCTTTGATCTGCTCTACACTCACTAATGAAAGTATGAAACCACTGTCTTAGAAGTCTTGGCTATAGACTGAATGTGTACTAGTGCCAGTTGTTTAGTGGTTTCAGAAAACTGCTGGTAAGAAACTACAGGATCAGATTTGTACATTATTTTTTGTAGCTTATTTTCCAGAAATGCATTTTTTCATGATTATTTTGAATATAACTCATAGAAATCAAACCAAACCAAAGACCTTCCTTCTGCTACCATAAGCTCTTGTAGATGCACTCAGAGGCACTGGAGGCAATGACAAGTAACATTTTTAGATCAGCAGTAACTTTCAGTGGTTTTAGTCTAGAAGACAGTTGTGACTTTCTTGGGATTTGGTCATACTGATAAAACAAAGAACTTACTAGCTAGTAAACTGTTGTTCCTAATCCTTTCCTATATGTGGCTTTCATTACAGAGGATTAAAGGAGATAAAAGAGGCTGATGTGCCTTCAGGCATTGTTCCACTAAGCTAGCTCATGTAGAGCAAGCACTTTAAAGATAACCAACAGCTTAAAGTGTATTAGGGAAAACCAGAAAGGAATGGAAATATTCCTCTATCTTAGGACACACAACTCCTAAATTACTTTTGAGCTGAAAAATCTCATTATAATAATTCTAATAGTAAAATATACTTACAGGTAGTTTGCCAAGTTGTGTTCCTGCAGAGTATGTGTTTCAAAGCCATGTGGGGTTGTGTCAAAATAGTCGTTGCCAATTCCACAAATAAAGCATTTGGTCTGGAAACACAATTTGTGTTTACAAATCAATTACAACTCAAAGATTCAATTATAACTGTAAAAATCTAGATTAATAAGACAAATGAAAAAATGTAATGTTCCTCTCATACCTCCATATCTTCTCTCACTTGTTCTTGCTGGTCTCTTAATTCACCAAAAGCATCAATTATAAGACCTATTTCAAATGGATAGGTTGCAACAGTTAAGTACTTAGCAATACTTCTCTTTCAAGTAGTGCAAAAAAAGTAGCTTTGGTAGACATCCTCCTTTCTATTTGAAGTTTGGCATGCTTCTGTACAGGTTGAATAATTTGATTTCAAATGTATCAATTTGCAGACATCTTGTATTCATTTATACTGGACCCAGCAGTGAGAATTTCTCAATTTCTCTTACTTCCTCTTAAGGAAAAGCTTCCTTTTGTTGAGTAAAGAAGAATTGGGTTCCACAAGACAGTCACCACCCTCCAAACAGTTTGTGATGCTGCTTCACGTTTCAAGCATTATTCTTTCATTTCCAGTGCATTAAGAATAAAGTTAGGTCATTTGAGGTACTGCAACATTTGTAATATCTAAAAAAATACAGACCATTTATATTTTTTCTTTGCCACTAGACTGCCTGAAAAATGTTTGTTTTACATTTTTTCCTTCCAACCGTAGGACAGTTTATAGAATGAGCGTTCAACACTGGCAGTCAATCAGTATATGTCTCCTTCTCTGTAAGCCACAATTGCAAACAAATTAGAACTGAAAATCATCCTCTAAAGAAATGAGAAAATGGGTGCGTGGTCATTGTGCCTTGTCAGAGAAAAAACCCAAGGTGAATGACTAGCTCCAAACTAATGCAGTGAAAAGAGTCTACAGTAATGCTCTCCAAATTTAAATGGTATTCTTAGCAGGAAGAGCAATCCTCCACAAACGGTGTCATTGCTTGTCATAAATGCTATAATCAAGGTAAGTTATGTTTCTAGTACTTTGTGTAATATTTGGTAGAATGCATTATTTGTAAATTAAGTTTATAATTATAACTTTCAGAATTAGTGACTTTATAAGCTCAGAAATAAGCCTTTGAAGCAATTCTGCATAATTACGTCAAACATAAATGTTATTTAAATGCACTCAGAATTTACGTACACTAAATTCTAACTATTTCTGTTATCATAAGTGAAAGTACCTTGAATAATGGCCAGTAGGATAACAATGACAAAGAAGAAAAATGTGATGTCGAAGACAATTCGATAAATTTCATAAGGGTCTCCAGCAGGATCCTCAATTTCATCCCCAATGCCACCACCAGATCTTACACCCACATACATGTGGAATAGGTAACACTAAAAAAAAAAAGTGAGAAATTTTATTTATCATGAATTATTTTGCCCTACTAAAAGTTACAGAAACAGAAGATGTAATATCGTTCCTCATGTATCGCCTGCTGAACCAAAAATCTCTTAACATCTTAACTAGTGTGGCTACATCCTCAAGTAAACTTACAAAGAGGTAGGAGTCAGCATCAAGTATATTACCCTCTTGTCATTCCCTATGTCTTATAGATTAAGATCTCTTTCTTTTCTTTGGTACTGTTCAACAATATTATACCCATTACTATTAATTCCTAAGGCTCAGATTTGCTCTGAGAGGGTGGAGGACTTCTCTTAAAGTCTTGTAATGGAATTCAGGAAAAACTGTTATAAAATGTTGTTATATTATTCACAGCAGGTAGATCTGTCTGTGCTTAAGTGGTTTTTGGATAATTTCATTTGGCACTACTGGATGTCAGTTTCAGTATATTGTACATTATTTATGATCTCAGAAACAGGCTCTGTTATGTTTGAAGTGAAAGAAATCACTTTATAGAAATGTTGCTGTGTGCTTTATTTTCTAAACATAGAAGACTTCATGGGATGATCTTTAAAAATGTGGATATTTAAACCACGTAAACATTTTAGAATCTATCCATCTATGTAATGCTTCTGTATGAATCAGCTACAGAATTTTGTAAACCACCTTAAAAAAAACTGTGAAAAACAATGAGAATTTCTGAGACTAACTAGGGTTCTGAAGTCACATTAGACAGCAGCTGTAGTGCTAAATAATTATCATGAAGTGAGACATCTGGTCTTTCACGGGCAAACACAAACAAAGCTATACATCCTCTGTTAGAATGCAGCTTTACTTTTTACACGACACCTTCGCTATTTTAATCACAGTTAAATCAATTTCAGATTATGTTTTTTATCTCACTTGGCAAAGTGGTTTGAAATGTGACAAAGTTTAATGATTCCTATTAGTAGTACATCCATTTTGTGACCAGAACATTATATTCAATCCACAGAGGGATCATTTCAAACAATATCACTAAGTTTTCGTACTTCGTATCATTTGTACATGTGACTTACAGTGACTGTTTGATTGAAAGTTCCAGAACAGGGAAAATCATTAGTTGAAATCTATTGCAAACCTCTATTCTGAGGTATAACTCACTATTTTTGCACTTAAAGCAGGCAGCGAGTATTCCATGAAGGAAATGAGGTGTCCACAAACTCATTAGGTTCAGTTTCCTGAAATTATGCCACGTTTCTTTACAAAAAGATCTGTAGAATAGCTTTTCTTATGACAGAAAATTGTTGTTGGTTTCTGTTGCAATCAGGTGGAAATCATAAGGAAAATTATTAATGATAGATTATCACTCCCTTTAATACTCCCTTTTGAACTCCCCCTTGACTTCTTCATGACTAAATTACCAGCTGTAAACAGGCTGACACAGGAGTAGTGCTAACATATTTCATGTAAGAAGAGCTTACAAAACTTTGGATCAAACTGTTCTTTACGTATGCTGCAGGAACACAGCTGCTTTTTGTAGGTCTGACCAATTTGTCACAAAATTTGTTCCATGTGCTTTAAGCATATGCTGTCTCTACTGGGGAGTGAAGAGGGAATTTTAAGACAGTAAACATTTTCAAAAGAACTATATAGCAAGAAGAAGAGATAGATGGCTTTAACAATGAAAACATCCTTTTATGTGATATTGGACTAGATGATCTTTTGAGATGCTTTTTCAATCCCTGATGTTCTGTGATTTCATCTTAATTATCCATGTAAGAATTCAGAATGAGATTTGAAGCATGCTAGTGATGTTTTACTTACTGTCATCATGTCATCGCATTTCATATCTGGTTCATCTTCATCTTCACTTTTATTGTAGAATTTGCGGAAGAAGTTGAATGCCACAACAGTGTAAAGATACACTACTACAGCCAGGAGTCCTACAGTAAGCACCAGCTGTATAGGGAGACAGGACATGAACGTACGTTTCAATTTCATTCTGTTATAACTGATGAACTAGCTCAGTTTATTGCCTTAAATATGGAAAAGGTATCATATGGTGTGTTTCCCAAGAAGAGAACAGTAATGACAGCTTTGAAATATATCCCCATTGCTTGGATCTGTATACAGGTTAAGTGGCCCTGTAAACTGCTTGCATGCAAAATGATATGGAAAATGGTCTCACAAAGAGTATAAAAGTTAAACTAAGGAGGATGCTTTTATGACTCTTCAAAACGTTACATTCCTTTATGTGTTTTTACATGCCTAACAGACTGTAAGAATAGACTTAAAATATATGCTGTATTTGAGAACAAATGAAATGTGTTTGTTTGAAATGGAATTTTTTGGAAGTTTTGTTAGGTTTAGGTTTCTCCACATTATTAAATGTTGAGATGCTTTTTTTTTTTTTAATGCTGATCTCAACATTTAATAATGTTTACTAATTTAATAAGATTGAGATCAGCATTAAAAAAAAAAAAAAAGCATTAATGTAAAGGTTGCTTTTGTTGGTTTGTAATCTTATACAGTACAAAGATCAAAGAGTGACTCCCCATAGAAGTTTCCACAGTTAGTTTTTGAAGTGCATTTTAACATGATTTTTTCGGGAGATAGTGACATATAAATAGATTCCACAATGCAGAATGTCTGTACCTCTAAGAACATTCTTACTAGCTAAGTATTGAAATCTCAGTTGTTCTCAGATCATTATTACTTCTGCAGCTAAGAGATTGTGAATTCCTGTCAGTTATCACCAACCTATTCATCATAGAGCATACAGAAGGAGCTGGTTATGTCATAATTCATATATTCTTCTGAAATGATGCATATTTTTATTGTGTACAAAACACTTTTTGTTATCAGCACTCACTGATCATAGATTGTTATATTTTTATAGGAATAATCACGTACTAAATGTGCTGCAGAGGACTTGGAGAAGTCTTATTTAATCTATTCATGATCAAAATGAATTGTATCGTAATATTTCCTAGGTACCCCAGGACTTTTTTTTAATATTGTTACAAAATGCATTAATTTCAAACCTCTGTATGTAAAACCAACCTGTTTGCCATTGTGAGTTACGGAGGACAAAATGGTTCGCAATGTCTTGAAACCCATAGCGATGTCCAGCAGATGAGCAGCAAAGAAGAAGTTGTTGTAGTGTCCAAGGATAGACATAGTTGTGTACCAAGCCAAATACAAAAATGACTGCAGAGAGAGTGAAATTTGAAATGAAAAATTAGTACAATGATCTGATTTTAATGTAGTACAAATTATGTAATGCAATCTGAATGTAGTATGTCTAGGACATTTGTTCAGAAAGGCTCTGTTTCTTACCATTCATTTGAAGTTGTGTTCATTTAAAATTGCTTATGCTAATGAGACCTCTCTATATTACATATTTAAATACAGTGTTTTCAGCATATATGTTATGAGTACTGAAATCCCCTACCTTAAAACTGTTTTGGTTAGGGAGCTTGTTACACAGCACTTAAAGTTTTAAGACCGATTCTAAAGGAGGCAAATGCATTATATTATTTTTAAGGCATTTCACTATTTTTAAGTCTCAAGATGCCCAGAAGACATATGGTCCACAGTACAGCTTATTCTTAGTGAGTAGTGAATCTGAACGCAGTTTGACATGAAAGAAAATATCTTGTTTGTAAACAGTAGGTCAGTGTACTTCTAGTGCCTATTGAATTTATGCTTCAGTTTATTCTCCTTGGTTTCCTATTTGCTTGGGCATTCTAAAAGAGATGCAAAAAAGAATACTGACAAAAAAGGGTATTTTAATGTAAGTTTGAGGCTTTCAGAGAAGGCACGAAAGCAGAGAATTAACCAAACATACCAAGCAAATTCAAGAATAAAAAAGGGTACGTTTCCATGTACTATGTTTGATCTGAGAAAGGGCACCTTTGGTTGCTAATATGATTTATACACAAATAAATGAATGTGCCTTTTAACTTTCCAAATGCTAGCATTGTGTTAAGGGTGAATAAGTATTTATTTCCCTTTGGAATCAAATAGAAAATGCTAATGTAAAGCCATTTGCTTCAAGGCAAAACAGAAAAACTATTTTAAAAATGGCTCTGTAATTCAATACTACTTGCGTAGAATATATTTGTTTAATATAAAAACAGGTAGTGGAAGACATACATTCACATTTAGAGTAAATCAAAGAATATTCTTCTAGGTTAACATACTTACATTATCAGTGAAAACAACACCAAGCTTCCAAATGTGGTACTTTGTATCAATGGAGCTTAACCTAGGAAATACCAGATTTGAAATGCATTAAGTGTCAAAATGAAGTACTAAATTCTCCAAGTAACAAACTGTGGTAACACTTCATATGCATGTAGTTAAAGTTGGTGATGTGTATTTGCTGTTTATTATCTGGGCTTTTTAGATGCTTCATTTTTCAGAGAGAATTCTTTAAGTCTTGGCACCCATGCAGAGTTTCTAACATCTGTAATTGGTGGAATGATTTCACTAGAATTGACGCTGGCCTATTCCAGACTTAAAAATATGCATTAAAAGTAATGAAATATGGATCCTACCTGTTTTAAATTTAAATGGCAGGTGTTCTCTCTAGTGTAAAATGTTATATTACCAAAAGGAAAGTTAATAATTTTTTCAGTAACTACTAGAAAATAATTGCTGAGCAGAAATCCTTTTTCATGTCTTAAAGAAGCCAGAATCATCAGTGAAATGTGACTGGGCTACTTTCAATCACTTGGCTTCCTGACTTCATCAACTATAGAATAGATATCTCTGAATTTTGTCTAGATATCTGACATCTAGATACTTGTTGTCAATACTTTTTCTTTCTTTTGGTAAGCTTTTTTTGTGTGTCTTAAAACATATTTGCTGATTTTAATTCTTCACAAGAAAGACTTATCCATTTGAATTTTCCATACAGAGGAAAACATCACTACAATTTCAATATAAAATCCATTTTTATCTCTGAAATGGAAGCTATAACAACATACAGTTTGTCCATAAAGCTCTGAAGTCATACCATGATACAAGAGAAGCTGCTTCTAGTTCGCTTTCTTCTACTGGACTAAAATCAAGGGCATTTTTGTCCAAACCCAAAAGTTCTGCTATACGCTCTGCTCCGTACAAGTCTCCATACTTGTTAATAACCTAAAAGTGCAAGGAAAGAGGCTTTTGGTCTGAGATTTTGGTAATTATTACCTTAAACAAGTAGCTGTTAGAAATTAAAAAAAAATTAAAAATAAAAAAAGGGAAACAAAAAATGCGAGCTTCTACAAACAACAACAAAAAAAAACCCCACTCTTTTACAATTAATGTTACTTGAACAGTGAGAACTCCCAAGAGGACCACAGATGGATAGAGACATGAAAGAAAAATAGAAGCATTAAATGCCATTATCTAAAAGCTTCTGTATAATTTACCATCGTTTAAGCTGACATGTTTTTCCTTTTTTAAGCAACGAGTGTGCTTTATCTCCTAAAGATGACAATGGCTGTAAAATGGACCTAGATGGCTGATTGACAGCACAAAGTTATTGAGTGCATTTGACTCTAGGAACTAAACCAAAACAGCATTCTTTCTCCCTCCTTCCTCCACATAAACTAGAACTACCTGTGGTAAATCTGTCAGTGAACAACAGTGACTTCAGAAAACAAATTTCAGTTCTCAATTGTTTGTATATGAAAAGCTCACCTTTCGTTTTACAAATTTATCCCAGTAATTGTTAGGAAATGACCTGCATAGATAAGGAAAAGATATTTCAAGTTATCCAGCTTGTTATGGAAAAGAAAAAACAACAAAAATTCACAGTGCAGATTCTGGTACAATTTCATTCATTCACGCTTTTGGTATGGACACCACCTATCAGGACAGTCTCTTTGAAATAGTAGTCACTGCATATTTTTTCTCTCTTTTTTTTCTGTAGTTACAAATGTGATTTGCTACAAAAAAAGCTACATGCACGAAAAAAAAATCAGTGGTCATCTCATTCTCAGGTGTTATATTGTTTTACAGGGTCTGAATTTTCATAACAAAACTAGGTAAAGCTATACGTTCAGCTGAGAGGTTTTTCCAGCCTCTGTTTCTGAACAGCCATATCCTTCCTGGTAATTACAAGAAAAGCATACAAAAGAGAAAGAAATGGAGCAGTAAACTGCAAGCATTTTAGGTGTCATTCTTGAAAACTCCCTGCTTTTTTTTTCAGAGTAGTGGGCAACCATGATGCTTCAGTAAGCAACTGGTTTTATCTAGGAGGTCTATAACAGACACTAAGAAATACAACAGCTGTTACCTACAAGAGAAAATGCTTTATGCTATCAGTGAAATTTCCTTATCCTACAATTTGATCATAAAAATACTGTTCTTGAACTTAATACCAGTGGAGCTGCTATTCTTAAGCACTTCTTCATTCTGACAATCTTACTATATTTTATGTAGGTTTTTCTCTCTCAATTTCCTGGATGTTGCAGGAAACAATGTTGAGTTGCAGCTGTCAGATTGATAACTGTGGAAGAGGTAGGTTTGAAGCTTTTTTGCTGCTCAACAGAATGAAATCTAATACAGCCAAGTAAAAAAAAACAAAAAAAACAAACCAACAAAGTAACTCTTCAAGCTAAAGGACAATACTGATAAAATAAAGCTAGTTTTAAGATTGCAAGACTGAGTTCCTCCAACACTGGTCCACTGTGAGGAGTTTAGGAAAGATTCCCAGCTACTACATGTTCAATTTTTGATTTTTCCAGACTGAATTTCTGAATGAAATTATTCCAAATGGACACTTTAGATAAATAGTTTCAGTAACTCAGCTGATATATTCTGGTTCAATCCTCTATACTGTTAATTACTTCTTTCTTTGATTTCTTATGCTTGTAAGCCAAGTTTGTCTCTATTGGAGTTTGTGTGTATGTCTTTTCCTGCAAAATGCAACTCTGCTGCATTTAAAAGGGTATCCTGTCTTTTAAAATACTTTTTTAACTTATAAAAAGCACATCTCAGCATATTCATAGCAGCGTGTACCCTCCAGCAGTGGGAACCTGATGATATAGTCATTAAACCTTATGAGTTAGTTCCCATCAGAAGGAACACTTTGTCAGCTTATGTTTAGCCTTAATCTTTCATTTAACTTAACTAGATAGTGCAGCATGCTGAGAACAGGCTGTACAGCATGTCAGTTGGAGTAAGCTGGCAACATATCATCTTATTAATTAATTTATGCTTATTTTTGCTGAGGACACGCTGGCTGGGTGTCTAGATAGCTTGCTCTCAATAGTTATAGGTTGAAAATGAGGCAAGAGCTCTTAGTTACCCAATAGAGAAACCATAGTTTCCACCATCACTAAAATTGCATTTGCTAAATTCAAGAGCATTCTCTTAGCCCTTGAGGCCATAGTGATCTATGAAGGTATTATTTTTAGTAACAGATTCAACATGGAAGTCAGCTCTCTGAGAGATATTATATGCTCATGTCAGGAGTAAAAATGCGTGTGGTTTGGGTGCTCTAAGCCAGATCTAATCTCTGTTTTCAGTCTGTGTTTAGAATTTTTCTTTTGTACTTCCTCTGATTTTTCTACTTGTGCCTTTTCACCAGTCAGCCTGATATAGCACTTTTGAAACTACGTTTCCCTTTGTTTTGGAATCCTCTGCTATCTTCTTTTCAATGGGGCCTGAGCTTATGCCACTACTGGCTTAAAGGCATAACAAGGATCAGAAGAATAATGAACTGAGAGTCTTCCACTCATTCATGTTCAGGAGCTTCATAAATCAAAGAAGATATGTAGGTATTATATATTCTGCAAAATTTATCTTGATAAAAAGCAGCTTAATTAACTCTGCAACAGTGACAGAAAATGAGGCTGGCTCAAATCAGTATTGCTAAAGAAACAGATGACAAGATTTTTGCCACTTCAGTGGGCATTATCTGTTTCACTTAGCAAATTAGTAAGTCTGGCTAGGTCAAAACATATGGGATTAAAAGATAATGATTGCTGTGTTTTGGACTCTCCAGAGCAGCTATGCAGAAGAAAATATGAATGGTTATTGCATTTTCATTCCCATGTCTTTGAAACTGGTCACATACCAGCATGAACAGGGCCTATAATGCAAATTAGTTTCTTCTAGGAAGTCAGCCAAAAACATTTTACAACAGAGGTCCTAAGAGAATGTCAAGTCCAGGGTACCCGGCAAGCTGTAAGACTAAGAGAACCTACTTAACTGACTGATCTCTGTGTCCACATTATCTAGACACACTTCTAAAAACACTGTCAATTTGAAATTGCTTGCAACAGCTTTTTCCTCATGGCTAGGTTTGTATCTATAATGTTTTGCAGATGTATTGTGGTTCCACTGCCTCATATCAATCTATTATTTCATTGACTTCCCTGTACTTCCCATTACTTCAGATGTTTGAACTTTGCAGAAGGCTTCTCTGTATTTTTACAAAGATACTGAGTTGAAAATATTAAGACTGTCCTTGGAAAAGTATCAGTAGAACAGATACACTATTAGAATTCTCTACCACCCTCTCTATATTTCGACTGAATCAGGAGTGAGAAAGAAAAGTTCTCTGAAAAGGCCGGATGTTTTACTCCTGCCTGTTGGAGACAAGGACCCTAAAAATTATTAAATTATTATTATTAAAAAAAATAAACACAGAATTAGCAAATCAGGCTAGGATACTGAATTCAGATATGGCTGACAAACTTTTTCTGAAAATCTTTCTAAACTTTTTCTGACAGCTGAGAAGCAATTGTATTTTTTTTACTACTGCTTATTTTGATTTTCTACGATTCAGCTGTCTCCATGCAGAAAATCACTCTGGATTTAACAATATTTTGTCACCATTGAAAAATATTATTATAATCAAGTGACCTTATATTGTAGTCTAAATTTCAAGCTAAAATAAATGAAAAATTCTTAATTCTCTGTAGGAAAATACTGCGTTCAAGAACTTGGGATAATATGGAAACTGTAAATTTAATCAGAGTACCAATGGTGCTATTTATTACGTACAAAAATATTGTATGTCTGATAAGATGGATATTTGGGCAGTTAGACAGCATAGTGTAACTGATACACTGAGTTGGTGATTTTTGCTATCTTGTTTTTATCAAATAGTTATTTATGCCTCCATACATGTTAGTAAAAACTGCATCATAGCTTTTCTAATGTGTGCCAAATTGGTGGAACGTATTTATGCATTTTTTTGGTGAAAGATTAAAACCAACTATTTACCCACATTTCTGGTTATTATTAATTTGCCCAAGGGCTAATGACTGTTGCTTATAGAATTATCTTTAAATAAAAGCTCTAAAATTATCTCTTCAAATTAAATTGTGCTGGGTTTACTTAGAAATAACCTGTTTGACAGCATTTTGTTATGGCAATTTAGATTGAATCATGTATCCAGCTATTTTGGTTAAACAGCATCTGAAGTAAGGAAAGAAAATCAAGGTGGCCTCTCAGACTGCTACTGCTCAGCAGGAAGAGCCTGCTGACATTTTTCTTTCTCTTGCCTGCAGTTTTATCATCCACATACAGAATGGCAGGTGAGTCTCCTAGAATCAGCATATGACTACTGTAGTATTTGCTAATGCATAGAACCTGACAGTTACGTCTGTTGGGCCTACTCAAATTCTGCAATTTCTATTTTACACTTAAGTTTAATTTCCTTGTCATTTATAAATTTTGTTAGCAAAAAATGGGAAAAAAGATGCAGGAGAGAATAATGCTACAGAGAATGAATATGAAATTGAGGCAGGGGAAATTCTCAATAGTGACTAACTTGTAAAATGTCTTAGGGAGAGAGATTATGAGAAAAGATGCACAATTCTTGCAAATAATGAAAAGGCAGATTTCAAATTAGACTCCACTACTATAGTATCTAATACAGAGTGAAAAACGCCTTTCTTTTAGACGGAGTAGGTGTTCATGAACAGGTTAGGTTCTATATCAGTGGCTTAATAAACTAATTATTATATTATTATATTATTATATATATAATATATATATAATATTTTATAATAATTATTATTATAATAATAAATATAATATAATAATAAATATAATATGTATATATAAACAATTCATATTTATACACTTAATTTTACATACGGTGTGTTTATAACCAGGCGATCCCATTGTCCTTTAATATCATCTTCAGATGGTTGTTCAGTTATGTATAATCCATCGAATTCCAGCTTCCTAGCTACCTCCTTCTCTCTCTTGAACACAACCAAAGGGACCTATGAAAATGACAGTGGACATCTTGGTTAAGGTTTACATATTGCTGGAAACTGTAATGGCCTATCTACATCGTACTCTTTATACTACTATATAAACCCAAACAATTCTGACAACTAGAGACAACAATCGGAGATGTGACTGAGGTGTTCTCATGCCAGTGATAGTGTTGATTTCTGTTACTGATAATCAAGTTCTTCCTAGCAGCTCTTAGAATATCATGAATAATATACATATGTATTCATACTAAATAATGAAATTAAAACATAAAACAAGATTCAAGACACCGCTGCATTCACTATCTTGATTTTGTAATTCTGTTGACAGCTGACAGTCCTGCTGTTCTGCGGTGGAAATGTTAACACAGTATGACTTTGAACTCCAAAATGAGCAAGTCAAAAATAAGAAGAGGAACAAGGAACTAGGAAAGATGGATTGCCTTGGTGAGCTAGAATAGTTTGTTTCATTTGATGTTCTTCATAACCTCACATAAAGAAAGCTTGCGGTTACACCCAAAAATTCAAATTAGAGACTGCTAGACGTATTACTGCCTTTCTTCTCCCAGGCTAATTCTTTGGCATTACCCCCAAACAAAGGGTTTGATTAGTGTAGACAAAAAATTGGTTACCATTTAAACATAAAACCAAGGACTCTCAACTCTGAATGGTTTAAATGCTATAGTATTGCCTTATTGCCTCGTAACACTCAAATTACCTATAGGTACCGAGGTGAGAACTAAGTACCCACACAGCTTCTTACTCACTGTGCCCCACTCCTAGTGGAACAGTAAGAGTGCAAGAAAACTTGTCTCCAGTCAAAAACAGTTTAAAGAGAAGAAAAACAAAGTGATGTAAAGGCAGCCACTCCCCACTTTCCACAAGCAAATCAATGCTAAACAACAGCCACCTTGGAAAAGAAGTTCTTCTACCAAGCCCAGCTTTTCTTATCGTGCAAAACATTACATGGTATAAAACAGCTTCCTGGCCAGTTTGGGTTAGCTCTCCTGCCTTCCTCCCAGTGTCTGCTCACTCCCAGCATAGTCACTGGGAGTCACATGGAGTGGGTAACAAAGACAGAATGTTCACAGAATACAAGCGCTGCTCAGCAATAACAAAAAGTTGGATGCTACCAACATTGTCTCAGACTCAAATCCAAACACACACTGTGATATGTAAAAAGTTAATTCTATCCCTGCCAGACCTCGCATGTGAGGAAAGCTTGGTGTCATAGAATGGTTTTGGTTGCATCTACATATTAATTTGAAAAGAAGTAGATAAAAAACAGGTATTTTAATCTCAGCTCCAAAAATCACTTTGGGACTACATGCTTTACCAAATGTAGATTAGTAATAAGATTCAGAACTTGCCTTTAAGCAATAGTATCCAATCACACAGACAAAGGAGATGATAGTATGAATAACTGCCAGTGCTCTGAGAGTGGGTGCCATGTAACCTGTACTTTCTTCCAAAACAAAAAATACCATTCCTTCCTCCTCTTCCTCTTCTTCAAAAGAGTTCCAGAGATTAGAGTCTTCTTCCACTTCATCAAGTGGCTCTTCTGTCACCTAAGAGAAATTTAAGCACATTGAATACACACAGTAAACTTAAAAGCTTTTCCTTTATCATACTGACAAATCCCTAAGTTCTACCTAATAACTGATGTATCTAAAGCCTGCCCTTGTGAAGCTAGTAGATAAGACCATTAGCTTTGAACAGTAACATCAATTCATTTTCACAGCCGAATTCTCTATGTAATCTCATTTCACTGAAAAGAAAATCTAGGAAAAGCAAGTACAGGTATATGACAATTTGCAATTATCTGGCAATATCTGATTCTAAAATTATGTACAAAGTATTTCCTGGGGGAAAAAAAATAACTGTAGTCAGTAGGACTTCTTAGAAAATGGGAAAATGTAATAGCTGATTATAGTTAAGCCTCTCTGTATCCTTAGAACAAATGAGATTTAAAAAAAGAATTACTTTAGTTGGATTTTAAATTTCCAGTGTCAAAATAAACAAAGGAAACATAAACAGACTTAGGCAAATAAATAAAAAATGCCTAGAAACACAAATTCAGCTTGTCTTTTCATTCATCCCAAGTGAAGTAAAACCAAAATAAGTTTCACATCACAAATTTTAGATATGAAGCTTAAGATATTATTTTAACTTCTTCATAGCTAAATGCATTTAGTTTGTGTTTGAAAGGACTGTAATACTTGCTGTATTAAAACAGCCCTAAAGCCAACATTAAATACTCCTCTGGAAGTAACTGAAAACATTTAAAGAATAATGTAAAAGCTTACCTTGTAAAATAGCAGAATAAAGTTGATGGCAAATGCAACAAATAGAGCAAGAAACCGTAAGTTATAAAAGTTCCTTGCCAGGTAGTGCTGTAAATAAAGTGGAAAAACACAACAAATTAGTGATAGTCTTCAGATAACATCAAAATGAGAAAGGTAAGCATTAAGGTTTCTAAGAATGTAAATACATAATTGTGCTGCCCTCATATGCCAGTTAAAATAAGCAGTGCATTTCTTGGCAGTCTGTTCTCCCATTTAATGGTAAAATAATGGGCATAGAATTGCAATAAGAAGACAAATAGAAACTGTATAGGAGGAAATCTTCAAGAGAAGTGCTGGAATAAACTACATGGGAAGTTTTCAGAGTTCTTAATTTGATATTTGTAAGAACAAATAAGGTGCTGTAGAACTATGGGCACTCCCTGTTCAAGAAAGTAGAATAAAAGATTCTAGAAACTAGATCACAGAAAAGAGACTTCCTAAAAAGGAGCTTAGGAGGTTACCTAATCTGTCCTGTTAAGCACACACATATATATTCTTGCTATGTATATAATTCTACAAAGTATTACAAAAAATGAGAAGTAAATCAATACAGACAGTCTTTCGAAAACTTAGGCCTATGTTTCTGTTATAGTTTCTCCCTTAGATTTCAATTGAACATTCTATTATATGAATAAATGTTGAATAGAATTTAAGAAAAAACTTACAAGCATTTTTGTTTGATATATTTCCAAAGCTTTGAAGAAATTAGCCATAACAGCCACAGGTTTCTCAATTTTTTGTCCATGCCTTCGCTTCTTTTTCTTTGTTTTTCCCTCTTCTGGCTGCTCAGACTGTTCTTCCTTTGCTTTATCCTGTTTCTCAACATCTTCCATGCTAGAAGAAAGATCAGCTAAGTAAGCCCTGATGAACTTCTGCGCTATAAACGCATTAATTTAGAAGGAATCCGAATTCAGAACGTTTGGTTTTAAATGCAAATTAGTTTTGAAACTGCTACACGTTATTGTCTTGTAGTATTGACAAGCTGCAGACTTTTCTTCAGGACTGCTGCTCATTTCTTAAACGATTTTTTTGTTTGTTTGTTTTTTTAAAGACAATGACCATGAACTTATATGTGCAGAATTGTCAAACTCTGCCTAAAAGTTTGTGTTAGAATTTTGTTATCCACTGGGATGTACTGCTACCTCTTAGAGACTGCTCCGCTATTCAAAATATTGCTTAGATTCGTTATGGCAAAGTTATCTAATATTAGGAAGTAGCAAGGATTTAAAGAGGAATTGTGTAAAGATAACTCACTCTGCCTTCTCAGCTTCCACTTTTCTTTCTGCTTCAGCTTCTTTTGCAGTTTCAGATGTCTGTGAAAAACATTAACTGTCAAAATGAACCCTTTCACATAAATTTTTGATAACATTGACTGTTTTCTAAGAAATAATTACCACACTGCATCTTTTATAACAGTTTACTCTTGTAAAGACTTCGATTTCATTTTGACAGTTCAGACAAGACTTTTAGCTGTGAATGCTTTATATCTTCTTTTGATAAATTTTTTAAACAGTGTTATCAATACTGTAACTAGTACAGATAACTGAACAACCTAATTACTCACTCTTATCAGATGATGAAGGTAAGTAACAACATCCAGACTATACCCTGAAATATAAAATTCACTCACAAAGACTCAGTGCAGCTACTGGTTGTGCAAAAAATCAGTTTGCCTCTTTCCAAGTACAAAATGAAGAATAATGTACTGTGTCAGTGACAGCATCAAAAATCTGAAAAAGACCTGTGTAATTTTTAGGCATTGCAAAACTCAATTACTTTGTCAAAATCAACTGATGCAACTAGAATCTGACAAAAACCTAAACTACTTTTATGTATGCAGTGTATCTTCTCAAACTATTTGTATTAGTTGGATAGATGATCCACTAAAATTTTACTGGCACATCTCACAATCATTTAAGCATATGTTTTAAACAGCCTCTTCACATAAGGAAAAACCAATGCACAATTTTACAATTTTGTTAACTGCAAGAGAGAAACTAGGGCCCAAATTTCAAACATCCTTACACTCAGTGTTGCCAGACCAAAGTAAGTTCATTTCAAAAGCAGTTCAAGTATCTAAGCTTCACTGAAAAGGCTGAGATTCAGGATCTATATTTATGAAAAGAATCTAAATTGTGTAAATTTATTACCATACATTTTTGTAAAAAGCTGCCTTAGCTCTTACCCTTTTCTGTATTCTTTCAAAATGCTTAGTTGCCTACTGCTGAACTGTACGTTTCTCATTCTTTTGCATAATTACATTACCTAAACTTTTTCATCACTGGTCATCTGCTCTTGTACAGATGTAGTGAAAGAATTTACTAAATAGATCTTGCCTTGCTCATTTCAATTCTCTTATGGAACCTCATCTAAGTACATGCAATGCAAGCATATATAACTCTTCCCCCCAACGAGGTTTCCTGAAGTTCTCAAGCTGATGAAGGATAATTCTGGGATCATTTGTTTGCTCCTGATTCTTCCAAGGGGGTAGGGTGGAGAAAGAATGAATAAATCCTCTCTATCCCTCTATCATATGCTCTCTCAGTTGTCTTCTTTTCAGGCTGAAGAGCCTTAGCCTACTTGATTGCATACACAAGATTTGTTCCATAACTGTGATAATTTTTTCAATTTCCCAGAATCTATTTCAGTCCAACATATTCTTGTTGAAATGGGAGACTCCATTTTGCAAGGTGCTGGTTTATCTTGGGTACACTTGGCATAACAGTGCTCTGTGTTATAAATCCTTCAATTCTTTTCTTGATAATGCAGAACTTCAGTTTGCTTCTTTGACATGTGTTAATTGATGATTTCATTGATATGATATTTCTGTAGAACTGTAATTTAGTTCCAAGATTTCCTACTGAGTAGTTATGATAATGTCAAAATCCATAATTTTACATACAAAATCAGATTTTTTTTCTCTCTTATGCACTATTTCACTGACTCGCATCTACTATTTTAAGGTTCTTCTAACTTCTCAGTTAGATCTTGATTTCATTGCCACAAGTAGCAAGATTTATCTGCAGTCTTAGCTTACTCTTCAAGTATTTCCATATTTGTGAACCTATGTGACTCTTAGCACAGGCTAATCAAACTTTTATGTGAAACCTAACTCCTATTTATCTTCACCATGATCACACAATTCCGTAAGTTATTTTATAGTTTTTCTAGCTAGATGGTAATGCCATTAATTGCTACACAACTGTTTTGTTGTTTTTTTTCTTTGAGTATACAGACACAGATTTTTGTTTCTATCCATTTGTGTATCTTTTATTATTGTGAATGGTTGTGCAAGACATTCTGATGGGAATTCCTGATTTTTGCATTGCTGTTTCTTTTCTGAGTTTTAGTCAATATTTATGTAATATTGTTATTGCTCTAACTAGACTACTTAAACTTTCCATATGCACAATGTGAATAGAAATTTATTGTAATATAGATTGTTCAAAAAGTAATTTGGTAGAGTTCACTAAATAACATTAATGTGAAAGGCAGCTAAGTTGGATAACTGAAGTCACATTGATAACTGAGAGTATCTCAATAAACAACGGACCATTTTATCAATACTTACAAAGAAATCTGGGAGAAATGTACAAATCAAAGAAAATAAATATTGATTGAAGAAAATTTAAAACTATTTACTCTGACCTAAAGTCCTTAAGTTAAAAGTAACATTTTTAGTATACATATTAAAATGAATGAATGAATAAATAAATAAGAAATTAAATCTTGGATGAAAACATTTGAATGAAGAGGGAATAATGAACTAAAAAGTTGTATAATGAAGGTTCTTGGATATTTCTGGAAAGCATACTATAAATAGGTGGGTTAAATCCAATCAGAAGAAAGAAAAATTTCAATAACAATTAGAAACAAATCTGAAATATAAACATCCCTCCTAATCTGACAAAAGCATTTGGGTTTTGATGTTTAGCTCAGGTCCATGTTTAAATAGGATTATAAAACATATTCATCTCAGCAGAGGAACAGAATAAACTCTTAATAAGCAATAAAAAAAAGTATGAAAACACAATAAACACTAAAGTAAAAGTAAATTCAAGGAAAATTACTTCAAATAACAGGAAAAAGGCTATTTTATTGTATATGAGTAGTGTATGACTACTACACAATGTAAAAGAAAGAAGATAATTATATATTATGGTATCATATACTATATTATTATAATTATATATTGTATAATTATACCATTATTATTGAGAAAGTAAATTAAAAGGTAACTGAAGTATACTATAGTATAAAAAAGATGAGCATGCAGAACAAACAATAACACGTGAATATTCTTTGCTTTAAGAGCAGAGATTATAAAATATCTTCTCATCCATAACCTCAGTCAGTTAGTTTGCAAATAATTCAGTTGCGACTAGAAAAGCCAGTAATATAGATATATTAGTATTTCCTGGAAAGAAATACAAAATCTCCTTCACATACCTGTAATCCTTTTTTCTTACGAACACTGTTTTCCAGAGAAGACTGGATATCAGAACCGAGTATTTCTGCAATATCTCCAAGTCCAGCATCATGACCATGTTTTGAGCCACCTTCTTTCTTAGTAGGAATGCCAAAAATATCTGAAATTATGTCAGTTTCTCCCTTTTCACCCTTTACGAACTGCA